CCCGCCCTGGCCCCGCCCCGCGATGCGCCACGCCCCCTGACCGCCTGGGTGGGCGTGGTGTCGGCTGGGGGCGGGGCCGGAGCCCGGGCCGGGACGCGGACTAGGAGGCCGAGACAATGAGAGAGAGAACTGGTGAGGACTGAGGCAAGGGAGCGCGCGGACGCGGACGCGGGCGCGCGAGCTTGGCGTGAGCGTGACAGCGTCGTGGGAGCGGGTTGAGGAGGGACTCGGGAGAGCGGAAGGTCGGGAGGGTCGAGTGAAGGTGCAAAGGTGTGCGTGCGTATGCGCGCGCGCGCGCTTGGCGCCGGCCAGTGGGGCTCCTCCGAGGATGCTGCGCGGGAGATGCGTGGGGGGACGCGCGAAGGGCAGTACTGGGAAGCGCGAAGATGCAGGGTGCGGGGGTGTGCGTGTGAGCGTGAGCACTGAGGGACAGGAGTGTGATGCAGCACAGGTGAGTGGGAACGAGATGAGAGACTTCCCTGGAGAGGTTACAGGGTGAGGCTGGCTCCCTTGCTCTAGTCCTGACCCTGAAGCCTTGTGTTTCGGTGTCATTTCCTTGGGAGGGCCCCCCTGAAAGCCAACCGAGTGGAAGGCTTAATCCTGGGCCCCTCAGGACATCTCCCAGGCGTGGTGTCCCAACCCTGCACCCTTTTCACCACGGTGTCACCCAGTCCAGTCTCTCTGTGTGACACTTTGCTGTTCCTGTTCCTCTCCCCGTCGCAGAGGCTGACTCACACCTCCTGACTTTGGTTCATTCTTCCTCTGGGGTGTGGGTTTCCCTGTATGTGGACAACTGAATGTGGGGAACAGAATGATCCCCCCAAAGAATGAGAAACTATGGGATGCAGGAGGCCTCTACCCTTCATGGACCTCACCGACATCAGAAAAACTGAGGTCCAAACATGCCAATTATGAAAAGCTTTGCCCTTTTCCTCCCATCACCTCTAAGAAGTTCTAGAGCCAGAGTTGGAGAGATTGCTCAGTGGTTAAGAGCATTAGCTGTACTTTTAGAGGACCTGGGTTTTGTTCCCATCTGACTCCCTCTTCTGGCTTCCTCAGGCATTGGACAACCTGGTGCAATTACAGACAGACAAAGCCCCCATATACATTTTTTAAAAAGTTCTATGTTCAGGTCAACCAGTGTCAACCCACAAGACACTTCCTCTCTGGTACCCAGCTCCCAGTATCCCCTCTCAGCCTCAACAATCCAGTCAACTCTGTCTCCAGGCCCACAGTATGAACAGCTTTTCTGATCACACTTCTTGATGATTGAGGAAGGAGATGGTCAAGTGGAATCATCTCTGGTTCTTCGTAGATTCACACTCTGTGACCAGGGTGAAGTGAGAGAGAAGTGTTTGACCTGCATTGGGAGATACTGGTTCAGGGGTATATTAACCTTTTTTTTCTGTTTCCAGTAACATAAAGACACAGTCTGGGTGAATTATAAAGGAAGAAGGTTTACTTTGACAAGTATAAGGGGCCACCTCTGCTGATGGCATTTTTGCTGGTAGAGAGAGTCTACCCTGATGACTTCTTCGATCCTCGTGAGCCCCACAGAATTAAGCACCATAGTCGGATTAAGTTTCCATCCTCTTAATAGCGTACAGGGGATTAACTTTCGTTTGTGTGTTTCTGTGTGCCCATGCTCATGTGTGTGCATGCACGTGGTGGCCAGAGGATAACCTCAGCTCTCATTCCCGAGGTATGTCCATCTTTTTCTTTTAGACAAGGAAGTCTCTCTCTGGCCTGAAATGTCTCAAGTGAATGGGGCTGGCTGGCCAATGAGCCCCAGGGGTCCCTCTGACTCTGTCTTCCCTGCCTTGGGTTTACAAACCTGTGCCACCATACCTGTTTTGTTTTGTTGTTGTTTTTAACATGAGTTCTGGGGATTAAACACAGGCCCACATACTTGCCAAGGTAAGCACTTTACTGACTGAGCCATCTCCCCAGCCCAGGATGAACTTCCATCACAGAAATTGTTGGCACACCCTCGATCTAGACCCAGGTTTCCACAACTCACAGTCACAGTGGCCTTTTCCTATGAGGACAAGTGGGACCCTTCCTTTAGGCTCTATCCCATGTATTCTGCCCCTGGTTTGGATCTCACCTGTCAGCTCTGCATCATTTATCCCACTGGAAGGCTGATCATCAGGAGAATGGAGGTCCTGTCCATCCAGGGCACTCTCGTCATTAGGGTTTTGATACAAGTGGACAACAAACCCCCAACCCAACTGATGACAGCAAAAGAGAAATGGTTCAAGTTGGCAGGGGATGTAGCTCAGTTGGTAGAGTGTTTGCCTAGTTTGCACAAAGTCCTGGGTTCCATCTCCAGCATCTCGTAAACCAGGCCTGGTATGCATCTTTGTCACCTACCCCCCAACTCAGGAGCTGGAAGACCAGGAGTTCAAGGTCATCCTCCACTACATAGTGAGTTTAAGAATGAGAATGTCCCCCATAGGCTCCAAGTATTTGGACATTTTGTCCCCAGTTGGTGGTGCTGTTTTGGGAGGTTTTAGGAGGTGTGGCCTTGCTGGAGGAAGCACATCACTGCCGGTGGACTTTAAGAGCTCTTAAACCTTGCCAGATTTCCTGTTTCCTGTGCCTACTTAAAGACGTGATGATTAAGCCTTCTGCTCCTGACACCTCCTTCTGCCACGCCTCACCTGCCATTATGGACCCTTACTCTGGAACCATAAACTTAAATAAACTCTTCCTTCTATAAGTTGCCTTTGTCATGGTGTCTTATTACGGCAACAGAAAAGTAAATAATACACCCTATTTCAGAGAGAAGTCAGAGGAGGATAGGGGAGGAAAGGAGAGGGAAGTCAAGGCTAGAGAGATAGCTCAGCAGTTAAGAGTGCTTGCGGTGCAATCATGAGGACCAGAGTTTGGATCCCAACACCTGCATAGCATGCCTGGCATCTGGCAAATGCTTCTAACTCCGCTCCAGTTCTGAGGGATAGGACAGCCTCTCTGGCCTCAGTGAGCAAACATACATACATACATACATACATACATACACACACACAGACACACACAAATAAATGGAGAAGAGGGGGATTCTTGAATACCTTTTCACTCATGTGACCCAGTGTCACTCTTGACATCCTAGTCCCTCCAACTTGTGCTATTGTTTTGCTTTGAATGATGTTTCCTTGCTACTTGAGAGACAGAGAGAAAAAGAGAGACAGAGAGAGAAGAGAGAGAGAAAGGTGCATAGGACAATAACCCCCTGTATGGCACACTTCGGCACGACCCCACTATCTGTCCTGAGGATAGATGGGTCCCCTTATCATGAAAGATGGCTGTCAGGCAGCCCCAGGGCCAGAATTACAAGTGATGGTGGGGAAGGGGAGAGAAAAAGATAGTTTTACAAGTCTACTGAGAGAGATTCAAAGGAAAGAGGCAGAGCATGTGTGGTCATGTCTAAAACACCCCAAAATCCTAAAGACAGATGGTGAGATGGCACAATGGGTCAAAGCACTTGTGGCTTGCTATGAAAGCCTTCTAAGTTCCAACCCCCAGAATCCACAGGAAAGGAGAGGACCAATTCCTGAAAGTTTTTCTCTGACTGCCACATGTGTGAGCAAGCATACACACACACATCTTTTTGAAACAAGGTCTCGCTATAGCCCCTCTGGCCTGGAACTCACTATGTAGACCACAACGTTTTTTAAAATTGAGACAGTCTCTTGGGAGGCAGAAGCAGGCAGATCTGCTTCAAGGCCAGCCTGATCTACTTAGGGAGTTCCAGGCCAGCTGGGGCTTCAGGGAGACCCTGTCTCAAAAAACAAAACAACAAACAAACACAGTTTTGCTCTAGCATCTACCCCTCCTCAATAACCAGATGACACAGGAAGCCCCAGGAGGGCGGTCAGAATATACTTTGCCAAATGGCTGATTCAGTTTCACCCTTCTGGTGATTACTTTAGATCTGGATGTAGCAAACAAGCTAGGCGAGTGAAACACCAAGGTTGGTCTGCCTGAATATTCGAAGGTAGGTTTTCAAGAAATCCTAGGAGGAAATGGCCCCTTTGCTTTCACCTCTGAACATGGGTGTGATGCCTGGAACTGAAGCAGCCATCTTGAGCTCATGAGGTAGAGAAACCTGGGTCCTTTAGGAACCATCGAATTAATCAACTCAGAACCTCCCCCTAACATTTGAGCACGTGTCATATGAGAAGATCAGTTCCTTCTTTACTTTCAATCACTTTGAGCTGGGTGGTGTTTTGGCCACCATTTTGCTTATGATTCATATAGACCATGTAGAAGCAGTTCTGCTTGCCAGTTAAAACATTCAAAGTGAGAGAAAGTTTCCTCCTTACTTGTGACAGGATCCCTCCTACAGGGTCTGTTTTGCAGGCTCCCAGTGAGTGGGCAGTGTATGGTGAGAACTGCAGGATGAGGGTGGGGGGATTATGTTTGACCCAAACAACCCTGTGTGTGGGCTTCAATGTGATCTAAGCAGAGGGGAGAAGTGGGCAGAGCCCTGACCCAAGCTGGCCTCTGTTCATCCTCTAGCTAAAATGTGAGACCCTAGAAAATGGGATTCAAGTTGTTCTTGGTATTTAGCATCTCAGTGGGTATATTTTCTATGTGGGAAGTCTGAGTAGGTAGTCTAGAGAGAAAGGGATTGGCGATTGGAGACTGTGGGGGGGTATGTGAGGAAGGGAGGGAAGAACAGAGATGGGAGGATGAAAGGGAGAGAAAAGGGGGGAGGAGAAAGAGAGAGAGAGAGAGAGAGAGAGAGAGAGAGAGAGAGAGAGAGAGAGAGATTTTGAGGGCGGGGGAGGGGGCTCAATAGAGAAAGTGCTAGATTTTGAGGGCTGGTGAGGTGGCTCAGTAGATAAAGTGCTTGCTGTGCAAACATGAGGACTTGAGTTCAATCCCCAGAACCCAGGCAGAAAGGCTGGGTATGGTAACACAGGCTTGTAATCCCAGCACTGGTCAGGCAGAGACCAGAGGATCTTGGAGATTCCATAACCATCCAGCCTAACATAATTGGGGTGCTTCAGGCTAGTGAGAGAGAGTCTGTCTTAAAAAAAATAAATAAGGTTGGGGAGGGGGCTGGAAAGATGGCTCGGTGGTTAAGAGCACTGGCTGGTCTTGCAGAAGACCCAGGTTTGAATCCCAGCACCCACATGACAGCTAACAACCATCCTTAACTCCAGTTCCTGGGGAATCTGATGCCCTCCTCTGACCTCCATGGGCATTGCACGACATGGGTGCATCTACCTACATGCAGGCAATACACTCATGCATAAAATAAAAATAATAAATAAATATTTAAGTAAAAAAAATATAAGGTGGGCCGGGTGTGGTATCTCATTCCTTTAATTCCAGTTCCCAGCATAGGGAGAGGCAGGAGGATCTCTACGAGATAGAGGCCAGCCTGGTTCTACATAGCAAATTCCAGGCTAGCCAGGGCTACATAGTAAAACCTTGTTTCAAAACAAGCAAATAAAAAACAAGATGGATGAATCCTGAGGAACAACATTGAGAGTTCACCTCTTTCTCACACATGCATTCATGTGCACATGGGCACACATGTAAATGAGAGAGGAGAGAGAGAGAGAGAGAGAGAGAGAGAGAGAGAGAGAGTAGGTTCTGCAGGAGGTAGCTACCTTTGCTTTCACCCGACCTTTCAGTTCTTTGTTCTGTCCTTGCTGAGCCCCAGGAGACCCAGGTCTAGCCTTACTCTAAACTTCCAATAACATCATTTTTGCTTAAGTCAGCACAAACTGATTTTATCTCTTCCAGCCAAAAGATCCCAGAAAACCAACTCAAGAGCTGGTGGCACTAAGGTCTACAGCACATATTGTAGAATAGGAACTTATGAGAAATGTGTCCCTAGCCTGAATAAAATCTGCGGGAGGGCAATGTGTGTGTGCATGGAGGAGGCATTTCCGTCCTTTGAGCCCCACTGTAAAGCATTATGGGAGGTTTAGCTCTAGCCTCAATATCTTTTGCAGGATATCATGAGGAAGGTGACACCCTGTTTTCAAACATGAAACATCTCAAAATGTCATCTTAGCTTTCCCACCTAAGGGCATCATGGGAAATATGACCTTGGCTCATTGTTTTTTCTTGGAAGCCATCAGCAGAGGTAAAGTCTTGGAGCTAGGGAGATGGCTCATCCAGTTCAGTGTTTGCCCAACAAGTATGAAGATCTGAGTTCAGATCCTTAGCACCCATGTTTTTTGTTGTTTTTTTTTTAAAGCCAGGGGGCTGGAGAGATGGCTCAGCAGTTAAGAACAATGACTGTTCGTGCAGAAGACCCGGGTTCAAATCCCAGCACCCCCATAGTAGCTAACAACCGTCCATAACTCCAGTTCCAGGGGATCTGACAGCCTCTTCTGTCCTCCGCAAGCATTGCACAATACGGGTGCATTTACCTACATGCAGGCATAACACTCATACACATAAAATTGAAAACAAAAACAAAGCCAAGAACAGCATACCTGTAATCCCAGTGTTAGGGAGCAGAAACAGGAGGACCCTTGGGAGGTTACTGACCAACCAGTATAGCTGAATTGGTGGGCTCCAGGTTCAGTGAGAGACCCTGTCTCAAAAAACATACATGGCGAGCAGGGCATGGTGGCACACACCTTTAATCCCAGCACTTGGGAGACAGAGGAAGGCAGATATCTGTGAGTTCAAGGCCAGCCTGGTCTACATAGCAAGTTATAGGCCAGCTGGAGCTTCAGAGAGACCCTGTCTCAAAAAAGAGGGGTATGTGTGCTAGAGTATGGTTGAGTGGTTAAGAGCACTGAATGCTCTTGCAGAAGCTCTGGGTTTGGTTTATGGCACCCATACAGAGCTAACAACTATCTATAATTCCAATTCCAAGAAATCCGGTGCCCTCTTTTGGCCTCTACAGGCCTTGCATGCACATGGTGCACTTCCATATATGAAGGCAAAACATTCATACACATAAAATAAAAGGAACTGGGGCTGGAGAGATGACTCAATGGTTAAGGACACTGGTTGTTCTTGCAGAAGACCCAGGTTCGAATCCCAGCACCCACATGGCAGCTAACAACTGACTGTAACTCCAGTCCCAGGGGATCCAATGCCCTCTTCTGACTTGTGAGGGCATTGCACGACACAGATGCACTTACATATATGCAGGCAATACACTCATACATAAAATAAAAATAATAGAGGATGTGTTAACTCTGTCTGAAAGAACAAAAACAGGAAGATGGAAATGTGAGCCTTAACGCTGAGTGAAGGTAGTGACCTCAGTAGTGAGTAAGCACTAAGTCTCCATGATCTTCAAGTAATGGTATAATTCAGTTAATCCAGTAAGGGAATTCAAGGGATAAGATAAGGACTAAATGAAACAGATTGGTTGGTTGGTTGGTTAGTTGGTGTTTTTGAAACATGGTCTCTCTATGTAGCCCTAGCTGGCTTAGAACTTGCTTTGTAAATCAGGCTAGCCTTGAATTCACAGAGATCTGCCTGCCTCTGACACACACACACACACACACACACACACACACACACACACGCACACACATGCACACACACAATTGCATTTAGAGGTCAGAAGTGGATATAGAGGCAGTTACAGTGGGGAGGCCCACAGGGACAGTTCCTAAGTAAGGGACCTCAAGTGTTTGAATCCACAACAGCCTGGCCTCTAATTGTAGACGCCTGCAAGAGCTCCCCCTTGCTTCCATCTTCCCAAGGCAAGGTGAGATAGAGGACAGACTCAGCCTCATTCAAAATGTACAAAAAGTTTATTATATATAAAATAAATTATATGAATATTAGTTGATAATTACAATAACAATGGTAATAACAATATTAAGACAACAAAAGCCCTCCTGCTGGCCTGCAGCCTTTCTCCTCTGGTCTTTGGAGAAACCGAGGTCCAAAGTAGACAGCATACTGGCACAGGAGTCCTTAGGGGTGGGCCTGAGGGGTGGCAGGGAAGTCCCTGGGTCCAGCCAGGGTGGGAGACTGGCTAGGACTTAGGTACAAAGGAGAATTCCTCCCCATAGTCTGAGGGTCATGAGCAGAGAGAGGAGGAGGCTGAGGTGGGGAGGGCCGGGCTGGGGGGCACTGCTTCTGCGGTACTGGGCATCTTGGGCAGGATTGTTGCAGCCACTGCCAGCACAGCATGAGATGTTGACATAGGCCAGGTTGAAGGCATCTGTCACGTGGGAGCCTTCGCACCATGAGGCAGTCGCACAGCCTCGCACAGTGTAGCTCCAGTTGGGAGACGCTGAGGAGAGGAGATCAGTGAGTCTGAATTGTCACACACGTGATGGGGGATGCTACCTCCACCACCACTAAGAGAAAGCAGAGCTGCCCAAAGTGTGTTCCTGGGACCCCCTGGCAGTCCTCCAAACCCACACCAAGAGTGATTCATAACAATGCTAAGGCATCATTTGGCCTTTCCAAAGTCTTGAGCATGCAAGGGGCTTTTCCAGAAAAACCCCAGGACGCGTGATATTGCAACATGCTGAACACAAAAGCAGAGACCAGAACCAGCTGTGTGCTCTTAAAGCCAGCTGCCAATGAGGTTTGCCACACAGTAAATAATGCCAGTCTTGGGGCTGGAGAGATGGCTCAGCAGTTAAGAACACTAACTGTTCTTGCAGAAGACCTAGGGGTTTGAATCCCAGCACCCACATGGCAGCTAACAACTGTCCGTAACCCCAGTTCCAGGGGACCTGACAGCCTCTTCTGACCTCTGCAGGCATTCCACAACACAGGTGCACTTACCTACATGTAGACAATACATGCACACACATAAAATAAAAATAATAAAAAAAGTTTTAAAAAATAATGCTGGTCTTTGCTTTTTTTTTTTGGAATTTTTGAGACAGAGTCTCCCTGTAGCCCTAGCTGGCCTGGAACTCACTATGTAGACCAGGGTAGCACCTTGAACTCAACAGAGATCTGCCTGTGTTGGGACTAAAGGCATTTGCCACCATGCCCAGCTTTGCTTTTCTTTTTTAAATACAGGGTCTCACCATGCAGTCCTGGCTGACCTAGAACTCACAGAGATTCGCCTGCCTCTCCCTTCTGAGTGCTAGTGCATTTTTAACATTATGGAAAACATAGCCATTTTTCATCAAAAATGTTATTTATGTAAATGTTTAAGAAAGAATTTTTATTGCTATTTCATTAATTTTAGTTTCTGTTGTGCTGGGGGTGGAATCCATGGCTTTCTATGTGCTAGACAACTGAGCCACACCCCAGCCCCTCACTGGGGGATTCTAGGCAGGGACTCTACCACTGAGCCACGGCCCAGCCCCTCACTGGGGGATTCTAGGTAGGTGCTCATGCTGAGATTACAGGTGTTAGGGATCACACCAAGCTCTCAGCTCTAATTTCTAACACAGTACCTATCTGTAGATATAACTGATGTAAACACACACATATATATATATATATACACACACACACACATATAGTCTTTTTTGGTCTTTTTGAGACAGGGTCTCCCTATAGCAGGAGGAGCAGTGGTTCCAAGTAGTCATTCTTGGCTACATGACAAGTTTAAGGGCCAGCCTGGGCTACATGAAACCTCGCCTTTAAAAAAGAGGGAGAATTGCCAGGCGTGGTGGTGCACCCCTGTAGTCCCAGCACTTGGGAGACAGAGGCAGGTGGATCTCTGTGAGTTCAAGGCCAGCCTGGTCTACATAGTGAGTTCCAGGACAGCTGGGGCTACAGGGAGACCCTGCTTCAAAAAGACACACACACACAAAAAAAAAATAATAATAAAAGAAAATAAAAAATAGGGATTGAAGAGATGGCTCAGTGGTTAAGAGCACTGGCTGCTTTTGCACAAGAGGACCACATGGTAGCTAACAACCATCTGTAATTTAACGCCCTCCTCCCTTGACCCTCTGCGGGCACTGCAAGACATGGGTGCACTTATATACATGCAGGCAATACACTCATACACATAAAATAAAAATAATTAAAAAATAAAATAAAAAGCCAAAACCCAGAAACAAAAAAACGAAAAACTCAAAAACCAAAACAACCCCCACAACCTCACAAACAAAACCCACCCATTTTGATAAAGAGAAAAATGGTTAATAAGCAAAAAATGAAAATGATTCTCAATTACAAGCAAAATATTCAAATATTCCTATCAGCGTCCTTATTTTTAAATTAACTATATTAAATGAGAAGAGCCTAGAAAGATTTAAAGCTTAATGTTACAAACATTTTCTAAGAAGATGTCACAGTATGACGTATGAAAGCCCAGGATGTGAACAGGAAGTCCACCGCCCCCAGGAATTCCTATGCCTGAAGGAGTCTTCTAGTGTGGATCATGGCTGAACTGTTTCCTAAAAGAACATCTTATTGCAATTCACCCCTCCTTCAGGAAGTTCCACCTTTCCCATAGCAAGAGCCAGCTGGACTAAGTCCAGCCCATCTGTTAATCAGCCCGGTCAGTCCCTGTCCCCCAGATGTCCCCTTCCAGCTCCCACAGGGCCTCACCATCAGAGCTGGTGGCCTTCAGGCACTGATTCATTGGTCCTCGGCAGTCAATGAGGGAAGTTTCTTCAGGGGAACACCCATGGGTGCTGTTCCCCTCACAGCTGTAACACTGGAAACCATTCGGTGGCAGGTGCTGAAGATCCAGAACTGAGGAAACAGACCAAAGATTAGCAAGTGGGTTCCTTCATCCCTCCATCCATTCACCCACGGGCTCACAATGCTCAGCCCGAGACGCTATGGCTCCACCTTGTGTCCAGGAGTGGGAACGACACTTTCTTTTGTGGTCCAGTTCTCTAGGGCTATCCCCTAAGCCTGACTCTGGCACTGATGCTAAGCCCTGACTGAGCGTGTAAAACAGTCTCTGCCCTCTCAGAAGTTACCATGCAGAGCGACACTGTCTCAGTGTGGCAGCCACTGGCCACCTGTGCTCGTTTAGCTTTTACAGTGGTAAGTATTAAATATAATTTTAGGGCCAGCATGATGGCTCATCAGTTAAAACGCTTGCATTGCAGCAAAGCCTGACCACCCGAGGTGGATCCCTAGGTCCCACGTGGTGGAAGGAGAGAACAGATTTCCTGAAAGTTGTCCTCTAACATCCACACACACGCCAAGGTACTCTCACTGGAGCGCACAGACACAGAATAAAAATAAACAAAAGGAAAAGGAATGTTAAGGGAAAGTGTTAAAAGGGAAAAAAATATAAATAAAAATGCTAAAATCGGTTCACATTTCCAGGGCTCTATCGCCATATGCATTAGTGGTTACTGGACTGGACCAATTCAGATTTCTGTCTGTGGAAAGCTCTGCTGGTCAGAGAGTGGGATCGACATTCTATTGGAGAGGAGTGACAGCAAAAGCTTCCCTGAGATGGACAGCAAAACTAAGGTGCAGCAGAGTGTAGTGAAGAGGCCTATCAGCCCCACAGTCAGGAAGCCGAGGCAGGAGGTTCCCAAGTTCTAGCCCAGCCTGAGTTAAAGAGTGAGACAGTGTCTCAAAAAAAAAAAAAAAAAAAAAAAAAAAGGGGGGAAAAAAAAAAAAAAAAAAAAAAAGGAGGGAAAAATTTAAAAAAAAAAAAAAGAAAAGTTATACCATCTCTCAACCAGGAATGGTGATACAGATCCGTAATCCCAGCACCCAAGAAGCT